GCGTGGAGGTGTCAGTGTCCGGGTACTTGATTGGCAAACCACCCTTTGCCATCCATCTGAACCAATTGTATGACCTTTTCAGAAGTTGGTCGACGCCCCCTGGTGGAAAGGTGATGCGAGTATTCCACCACGCAAACTCGTATGCAGGCCGGATACGGTCATCCATGAAGGCTTCCTGAGGGTGCAGTGGGTTACCCTGGAGACAGGACTTCAAAAAGGGAGGGACGATAAACTGGCAGGAAGGTGAGCTCAAAGAGAAAAAATCTGGGGCAAAGTTTTACTTTATGCCCATAGGCGCATGCCATGCCGAGAGTCGCTATAATGAAACCCTAACCAAAGGAATGAGTTTAGCCGGGCGCGGCAAAATAAAGCTCACCTGTTCGGCCGACATGTACTCCAACCAACAATTCTCGAACTTGGGGTCAATGGGGTTTTCGAGCTTCGATGTCAAAATGGCTCTGAATCGAGAGGACCAGTAGCAGAGTACCTCCTGGAACTCTTGCTCGTCCTTCCAGAGGAGATTAGCCACTACAGAAGAATCTCTGGTAAAAGCTGGAGGCCGTATCTTCAGCACCTCGTCAACCCATTGCTCTGCTCGGCAGGGGTCAAATGACAGGTGTTCTTTTGCATACATGGTGGACAATGAGAAAGAATAGTTTGACTCAACTAGGATTAGGTAATGCAATGGCCTCGCACATGACCCCGGCATTTATAAATTCTTTGGTGGCCTGGAAGGCCAGTTCTTTCCACATACTGATTTGCCCCTCGGCAAAGCATACATGTCCCGGCTTGTCTGGCACCAAGTCCCTCAGCCCAGCCCACTCCCTTGCTTTGTTGATGAAATAGAGGCGGGTCCAGTTCATTTCGTTTGGGATCAAGGTATGCTCTTCTGACCACCGGTCATATCGAGCTTTTGCTCTGAGCCAATTCACCCGATATACTTTGATTTGTCTGGTTTCAATTCATGTAGAGTAATAAAAGTGACTGGATCTGACCTTGTTCCATGTATGTTGAACCCGACGAATCATCGGCCACAGCCATATTCCAGAACCATGGCAGAGCAATATTTCTTTGACCCCGGGCGTTGCCATCGTATACCGTAGTTAGTGCCCTTGTATCTTTTTTCCCTATCGGCTTGTATCGGTCACGAGTGCCCTGAGGAGCATTGAGCTGATTAAGAGCCCATCGAGCTTGGTTGTATGCCTGGAGAGCACTTTTCATATCGCGATCTGAT